TTGAGTGCTGCCAGGTCAGCAGAAGACACAGGCCTAAACCCCCACTGTAAACAAAAAAGACACAGGAAGCTTCCCTAGTAATCTGAAGGAGTCCCTAGAAACCCAGTAGCACCTCAACAGGCAGACAAGTGACCTCATCAAGCAGATCCCTGATACCACAGCCAGGTAAATCCACAAAGATGGGAAAAAAAACAGTGCAAAAAAGATGAAACCATCAAAGATCAGAACACCTCTTCTCCTTCAAGGGATCACAACTCCTCAACAACATGGGAACACAATGTGACTGTGAAGGAGTGTGACAAATTGACAGTAACAGGCTTCAGAAGGTGGGTAATAACAAACTTTTCTGATTCTAACTCAATACAAAGAAACCAAAAACCTTGAAAAAAGATTAGATGAAATACTAACTAGAATAACCAGCTTAGAGAAGAACATAAACGACTTGATGGAGTTGAAAAACACAGCACAAGAACTACATGAAGCAAACACAAGTTTTAAGAGCTGAATCAATAAAGCAGAAGAAAGGATATCAGAGATTGAAGATGAACTCAATGAAATAAAAACAGAAGGCAAGATTAGGGAAAAAGGAGTAAAAATAAATGAACAAAGCCTCCAAGAAATATGGGATTATGTAAAAAGACTTAATCTAGGCTTGATTGGCGTACCTGAATATGATGGGGAGAATGAATCCAAGCTGGAAAACATGCTCCAGGATATTACCCAGGAGAATTTCCCAAGCCTAGCAAGGCAGTCCAACATTCCAATTCAAGAAATATGGATAACTCCACAAAGATATTCCTCAAGAAGAGCAACCCCAAGGCACATATCATCAGATTCACCAGGGTTGGAATGAAGGAAAAAATGCTAAGGGCAGCCAGAGAGAAAGGTCAGGTCACCCACAGAGGGAAGCCAATCAGACTCAGTGGCTTTACTGGCAGAAACCCTACAAGCCAGGAGAGAGTGGGGGGCCAACATTCAACATCCTTAAAAAAAAGAACTTTCAACCCAGAATCTCATATTCAGCCAAACTAAGCTTCTTAAGTGAAGGAGAAATACAATCCTTTAAGGACAAGCAATTACTGAGAGATTTCATCACCAGCAGACCTGCCCTACAAGAGCTCCTGAAAGAAACACTAAGCAAAGAAAGGAATAAGCAACAGTCACTGCAAAAGCTAACCAATTGGCAAAGACCAAAAATGCAATGAAGAAAATGAGTCAACTAATGGGAAAGAAAACCAGCCAGTAACAAAATGGCAGGATCAAATTCACACCCAACAATATTAACATTGAATGTAAATGGCTAAACGCCCCAATCAAAAGACACAGACTGGCAAACTGGATAATAAGTCAAGACCCATCAGTGTGCTGTATTCAGGAAACCCAACTCACATAAAAAGACACACACAGACTTAATATAAAGGGATGGAAGAAGATTTACCAAGCAAATGGAGAAAAAAAAAAAGCAGGGGTTGCAATCTTAATCTCTGATAAAATGGACTTTGAACCAACAAAGACCAAAAGAGACAAAGAAGGATACCACATAATGGTAAAAGGATCAATCTAAAAAGAAGAGCTAACTATCCTAAATATATGTGCACCCAACACAGGAGCACCCAGATACATAAAGCAAGTTCTTAATGACCTAAAAGGAGACTTAGACTCCCACACTATAATAGTGTGGGAGACCAACACTCCAGTTTCAATATTAGACAAATCAACAAGACAGAAAATTAACAAGGACATCCAGGACATGAATGCAGAGCTGGACCAAGTGGACCTAATAGACATATACAGAATGCTCCACCCCCGAAATCCACAGAATATACATTTTTCTCAGCACCACATTGCACTTACTCGAAAATTGACCACATCATTGGAAGCAAATCACCCCTGAGCAAATGCAAAAGAATGGAAATCATAACAAACAGTCTATCAGACAACAGCACGATCAGACTAGAACTCAATTTAAGAATCACACTCAAACCTGCACAACCACTTAGAAACTGAACAACTTGCTTCTGAGTGTCAACTGGATAAAGAATGAAATGAAGGCAGATATAAACATATTCTTCCAAACCAATCAGAATGAAGACACGACTTACCAGAATCTCTGGGACACCTTTAAAGCAGTGTCAAGAGAGAAATTTATAGCAATAAATGCATGAGAAACAAGGAAAGATCTAAAATTGACACCCTATCATCAAAATTGAAAGAGCTAGAGGAGCAAGATCAAAAAAACTCAAAACCTAGCAGAAAACAATAAATAACTAAGATAAGAGCAGAACAGAAGGAGATAGACACACAAAAAACTCTTCAAAAAAAAAAATCAATAAATCCAGGAGCTGGTTTTTTGAAAAGATCAACAAAATAGACCACTAGCCAGATTAATAAAAAGGGAGAAGAATCAAATAGATACAATAAAAAACGATAAAGGAGATATCACCACTGATCCCATAGATACACCAACTACCATCAGAGATTACTGCAAATAGCTCTATGCACATAATCCAGTAAACCTAGAAGAAATGGATAAATTCCTAGATACTGGTACTCTACCAAAACTAAACCAGGAAGAAGTTGAAACCCTGAGTAGACTAATAACAAGGGCTGAAGTAGAGGCAGAAATCAATAGCCTACCAACCAAAAAAAGTCCAGGTCCAGACGGGTTCACAGCCAAATTCTACCAGATGTACAAAGAGGAGCTGGTTCTGTTCCTTCTGAAACTGTACAAAACAATACAAAAGGAAGGAATCCTCCCTAACTCATTTTATGAGACCACCATCATCCTGATACCAAAACCAGGCAGAGACTCAATGAAAAAGGCAAACTTCAGGCCAATATCTATGATGAACATCAACACAAAAATCTTCAATAAAATACTGGCAAACAGATTGCAGCAGCACATCAAGAAACTTATCCACCATAATCAAGTAGGCTTCATCCCAGGGATGCAAAGCTGGGATTTTCAACATATGCAAATCCATAAACATAATCCATCACATAAACAGAACCAAAGTAAAAAAAAAACACGATTATCTCAATAGATGCAGAGAATGCCTTTGACAAAATTCAACAGCTCTTTATGATAAAAACTTTCCAAAACTTGGTATTGATGGAACATATATCAAAATAATGCAAGCTATTTATGATAAACCCACAGCCAATATCATACTGAATGGGCAAAAACTTGAAGCATTCCCTTTGAAATCTGGCACTAGACAAGGATGCCCTCTCTCACCACTCCTATTCAATACAGTATTGGAAGTTCTAGCCAGAGCAATCAGGCAAGAAAAAGAAATAAAGCGTATTCAATTAGGAAAGGAGGAAGTCAAACAGTCTCTATTTGCAGATGACATGATTATATATCTAGAAGACCCCATCGACTCAGCCCAAAATCTTCTCAAACTGATAAGCAACTTAAGCAAAGTCTTGGTATATAAAATCAGTGTGCAGAAATCACAAGCATTCCTATACACCAATAACAGACTAAAAGAGAGCCAAATCAAGAGTGAACTCCCATTCACAGCTGCTACAAAGAGAATAAAATATCTAGGAATACAACTAACAAAGGATGTAAAGGACCTCCTCAAGGACAACTACAAACCACTGCTCAATGAAATAAGAAAGGACACAAACAGATGGAAAAACATTCCATGCTCATGGTTAGAAATAATCAATATCGTGAAAATGGCCATACTGCCCAAAGTAATTTGCAAATTCACTGCTATTCCCATCAAGCTACCAATGACCTTCTTCACAGAACTGGAATAAACCACTTTAAACTTCATATGGAATCACAAGAGAGCCCGCATAGCCAAGACAATCCTAAGCAAAAAGAACAAAGCTGGAGGCATCATACTGCCACACTTCAAACTATACTACAAGGCTACAGTAATCAAAACAGCATGATATTGGTACCAAAACAGAGATATAAACCAATGGTACACAACAGAGCCCCAGAAGCAACACCACACATCTACAATAATCTGATCTTTGACAAACCTGACAAAAACAAGCAATGGTGAAAAGAATCCATGTTTAATAAATGGTGCTGAGAAAACTGGCTAGCAATGTGCAGAAAGCAGAAACTGGACCCCTTCCTGTCACCCTACACTAAAATTAACTCCAGAAGGATTAAAGATTTAAACATAAAATCTAACACCATAAAAACACTAGAAGAAAATGTAGGCAAAACCATCCAGGACATAGGCATAGACAAGCACTTCGTGACTAAAACACCAAAAGCAATAGCAATAAAAGCCAAGATAGACAAATGGGATCTAATTAAAATTCAGAGCTTCTGTACAGAAAAAGAAACCATCATTAGAGTGAACTGGCAACCAACAGAATGGGAAACAAATTTTGCAATCTACCCATCTGACAAAGAGCTAATATCCACAATCTACAAAAAACTAAAACAAATATACAAGAAAAAAACAAACTACCCCATTCAAAAGTGGACAAAAGATATGAACAGACAATTTTCAAAAGAAGACATATATCAAGCCAACAACCTATGAAAAAACGCTCATCATCACTGGTCATTAGAGACATGCAAATCAAAACCACATTGAGATGCCATCTCACGCCTGTTAGAATGGAAATCAGTAAAAAACCTGGAGACAACAGATGCTGGAGGGGATGTGGAGAAATAGGAACACTCTCACACAGTTGGTGGGAGTGTAAATTAGTTCAACCATTGTGGAAGACAGTGTGGTGATTTCTGAAGGATTTAGAAATAGAAATTCCATTTGACCCAGCAATCCCCTTACTGGGTATATAACCAAAGAACTATAAATTGTTCTACTATAAAGACACATGCACACATGTGTTTATTGCAACCCTGTGTACAATAGCAAAGACCTGGAACCAACCCAAATGCCCATCAATGATAGACTGGACAAAGAAAATGTGGTACAGATACACCATGGAATACTACGCAGCAATAAAAAAAACAATGAGTTCATGTCCTTTGTAGTGACTTGGATAAATCTGGAAACCATCGTTCTCAGCAAACTGACACAAGAACAGAAAACCAAATACCACATGTTCTCACTCACAGGTGGGTGCTGAACAATGAGAAAACGTGGACTCAGGGAGAGGAGCATCACACACTGGGGACAGGTCGGGGGGATAGGGAAGAGACAGCAGCTGGGGGTAGGAGAGAGACACCAGGGAGTGGGGAGGGTGGGGAGGGGTAACATGGGTAGAAATGCCAGATATGGTATGCACCTAAAGTAAAATGTTTTTAAAAAATGAAATTTTTAGAGACGCTTTTTAAATATACAGGTGTGAAATAAGCTATCTGGGATTTCCTTTAAAATAATTCATTAAATCCAAAATTAGATCAAGGATGACAAAATCTTCAAAATTATTGAGTATATATATGTAAGTTTATGGAGGTTCATTATTACTTTTTGGTTTTATGTGTTTTTTAAATATTTAAAATTATTTTATTTAACAATAGAAGAATAAGTCATGGGTTTAAGGGAAGTGATGGGTTCAAAGCGTTGCTGGGGAAAATGGGAGTTGGTTTGACCAAAAACAAATAAAAGATTTGGAGGATGACACAAAGGTACCCATTTGGGTTTGGGTCTGGACTTGGTGGGTCCAGCCTGCATCGATGTAGAAATAGAATGATAGATAGTAATGAGGAAGGAGACTGGCAGGACTTGTTTCCCAGTCACAACCCTGCTGACTGAAACAAGATCTGGTCCAGACAGGATGAAACAAAGAAACCAGCAAGAACCAGCAGATGGCAATGAATGTGATCCCTAGCTGCCCTCATTGCTCATTAGCATAATATACTCCCACCAGTGCCATGACACTTCACAAATGCCATGGCAATGACCCAGAAGTTGCCACCCCTTTCCAAGTCAACAACCTGGAAGTTATGTTCCTTTCCTATAAAGTTCTAAATAGCCCACCCCTCAATTTCCATTGACCCACCCCTTAATTTACATGTAATCAAAAGTGGGTTCCTGAGCATAAATAAAGTTGCCAAGAGCCGCCTACTCTGGGCACATATGCCTATGAGTTAGTCCTGCTCTGCAAGCAGCAATATTTTTCAACAGAAGATTGTCTAACAGCAACAGCTTGTCTTTGAATTCTTTCCTGGATAAAGCCAAGAGCCCTCTCAGGTTAAGCACCCAATTTAGGATTTAACTGTCCTGCATCAGTAGCATGAATTGAGAGTCAAGGTTTTCACAATCTGATCACATATGGATCAAGGCAAACCTTAAGGACAACTAATAGAAAATCTAAGTAGGCTCGTCAATAGTGGAGAAAAAGGAAGTCAGGCACAGTGTGGGGGCTAGCACAGTAAGCAGCTGAGCATACCTAGCCAAAAGTGGGACTGAACTCCTAAACTTGCACCATTCTCTGCATGGATCCTGCTCTCAGGCCTTCCTTCTTAACTCTGGATAACACTGCTTGCTCCCCTTTCTGGTCTCTTAAACAATAGCCACGTATATTGTGTTGTATGTAATTAGTCATGACACTGGCTGACATTTATCTGATGGTTGCTATGTAGCAATGTATTCATGACTGCAAAGGTTTATGTCCTTGAATCTTCATAACAAACCTGGGAGTCTCAGAAAATATTAGGTTAAAGTGAGGGAACTGAAATTTAAGCTCAGGATATCTGACTCTGAGGCTCAAACTCCTAACCAAGAAACCGTTCTGTAATTACTGCTTGTGAGATCCAACCTCTCTCTGATTTTCTCTCCTTCAAGAAGGCATTTCAGCATGCAGACAAGTAATACTTTTAGGAATTACATTTACTTCATTCTAATTCATAGGAAAAACAAATAATTCACAAATTTTAGATCTTCAATTATTATTACTAAAAAATTACTTGCAACAAATCTCACAACTTATTATGACACAACTGTGTAATACTGTGGTTGAGAACTGCATCCCTGATATGTTTATTCTCCAAAATACATTTTTTAAAATTTTCTACATTTAATTAATCACTTTAATTTTCTAGCTTATTTCTTTCATGAATCCCTGATATCACCAGTAAATTATGGCATCTTTGAGAGAAAAAAATCAAGTCCTGTAATTTTTTTAACTCTCCAAAATATCCAGAATATGTCAGGCACATAAAAACAATTAATAACCATACTCTAAATAGAACTGAATTATCAATGAAATAATAGTAATATTAGGGTAAGTCTTTCCTATTTATAAAACCTTTCCAACAGGTCATCAGGCTTCTTCTAAAAGTATGCAGAAAGGAATCAGAGGTCCCAGTTCAAGAGGTGAATTCACTGTGATGGAGCTAGCTTCTTTAACCTATGTCTCCTCAGACAGGATATGGATGGCAAAGTTTTCTAGAATTGCGGTTTAAAATTAGAAGCATCTAATGAAATAGCTAGATTTATTCTGTTTTACTAGACACCCTGGAGCATTCTAACAGGGTGCCTGTGTTTGCTTAAAAAGATTTTATCACATCACCCAGACCTAACTCTATTAACATGTAAATGAAATTGATTCTGTACATTGAGAACACAATGCTTACCTTGCAATATAAGACAATTTTTAATAAAGAAAAGGATAACTGATGCAAATTTCACAGTATGGATTTCCAAGATGAAAATAAAGTAACTTATCTATCAAGCGGGACAAAGTTTAAAATGCTTGAGCAGGAACAAGATCACTCAAGGTTAAGTGTGGTATGATTAAGGATACTCTATAAGCTTAAACAATAAGGAGAAAAGAAGGCATTGGTATACGCTATATCTAAAATAATTTTCAAAAAGAAGGATTCACGTTATTGTCTTTTAGATCTAAGAAGTTGCACTGCCTTTCCTTTTTCATGCCTCCTAGCAGGGAAGTTAAGAGCATGAGATTAGGAGCCAGACAGACCTGGCTGTGGGTGGGATTCAGTAAATGTTAGCTACCATTCTTATTGCAGGGAGGAGAAATTCTCAGTGCCCTCCCCTCACCCTGTTTCCCAGTGTTGAAGTTACTGCAGGGGGTATACTGAGTCATGGCTTCCTAATGGGTGGGAATCACTCTGTGGTCTGTGACCTCTCTTCCCTGGTATGCATGTTGGTGGGTGAATACACTGCCCAGAGAGCTGGCTCTGCCTGCTCTCTGCAGGGTAGATGCAGTTGAGTCTAGAGCCCCTTCTACAAACTAGCTAGTTCTCCTACTTCTCTACTTCCTACATACCTCTAATCAGATTTCATACCCCAAATTCTGAAGGAAGGCGGTACTCATTAGACTTCAAGCTCAGGACCCAAACCGGGAAAAAAAGGAACGGATATAGAACAGCATTTGTGTTGCTGGGTCACTGGTCATACCATTTAATAGCATTAGAATCCTACTGTGACCCCAATTCATTACTGTTGTTATTTTTAGTTTATTGTTATTGACTTTGAAGGAAGGGAGCTCAATTGTATGGTACTACAAAGTTTTCCATCATCCTAGGCATAAGTGAAGATGTTCGCCTGTGCTTGAGGTCTTGTCTTAACCACAAGTCTTAACTTGTGGCTCATCTTTTCTATTATTTCACATGTTCTCTGTTGAATATCAGGCATCATACTAGATACTTTTATACATTCCTTCTTTTTATCTTAATATTAGTCTTTAATATTCATACTGAAATTAATTATCTCCATTTTATATAAGAGAAAATGAACAATCAGAGAGATTAAGTAATTTGTCCAGACCACACAGGCCATAAGTGGGAGACACAGATCTGAAATCCAGATCTGTTTGATACCAATGAGTATACTTCCTGCTAATGTTAGCCTGCTTTACCATTCCCACCACAAACCCTTTAAGTTGCATGAATTTGGTAAAAATAGGATCAAGGTCACGGGTCCAATCTCCATATGTGCTTAAAGCTCCCTTGTCTGTTCATTTAATTCTCTTGTTAAATCCACAGCCAGGGCATAGCTATTAAAAAGGTTTCTTTTAATAAAGCAACCCCACCTCATTAAAAAATTTTCTCTGATATGAATCATTTCCTCATGGCTAAACATATATCGGATAGCTGAGGAAGCAATCATTTCTGTCTGAAAATCAGAACTTCTGAACTTTCAGAGCAGGCCCCAATTGGGGCACTTGTCACCCAACTTCCCCCTCTTGTCACTTGGTGTTTATTACTAACCCTTGTGAAAACACGTTTCGGGTTTAGAAGAAATACAGCTCTCTAATAGCTGAGATCCTGGGCTTGCTGAGAGTTGGCAGTGTCTAACCCTCGGGCATCTATTTTTCTTTTTTCTGTTTCACAGAAAGGAAGAAAAATGCACTCAGATACCTTAGTGTGATAATTACAAAAGGCTTCTTTTACCTTTGGCAATTTTTCCAGTGTTCAGAAAGAGCATCTGTTGTTTGTGGTGTAGTAATAACTCTAACCCTCTCTGGCATGTTGAGAAAGCCAGAAGTGAAAATACAAGCTGTGGCTAAGCAGAAGGAAGAATGGTCTACTTTGGGAGAGAGAGAAATGATAGGACACCAGATGTTGTGAATCTCTTTGGTGCAGTCTTGCGGTCTGAAAGGATCAAAGCTGGGCCTTCACTTCAAAGGATAGCACCTGGCTATCAAGTATGACTCCATTTTGCTAGGACATTTCTTTAACAATTCCCTTTCAACCACCATTGTAAACTGTCATCTTCTGACCTCATTTCTCTCGGTTGAATACAAATCTCAGAAGGAAATCCCAAAGACTATTCAAGCTTTTGTCAGCTAGTAGGGATTCTTTGTAACCACAATGATTTCATTATAAACATTGTTATGAGTTCTTTAAAGAGAAAAGCAGAATTCCTAGAGAAGTCGCTATCCATATAGAACACACATCTAGTCTTCTCTGAAATCAATTGAGCAGTGGGCTTCATGTATTTTCCAGGGAATTAAATCATCACCCAGAGCAAAAAAAAGACACCAAGTTGTGAGATGAGTTCAGTGAACATGCAAGAAACATTACCCCAGGCAACACCAGGCATCTTCCTGTCAGTCAGAAGATGGAGAAAAAGTGTTTTGAAAAAGCATCTTTGACCTGACCATAGGTCACAGCCCCATTGCCCAGAAGGCCCTTCTCTTCCTTCTTTCCCAGGCTACCTTTCCTCATCCACTAAGACTCAGCAAAGGCCTCATTTCCAAGGCTATGTGGGACGCCAACCTTCTGTGTCCTTATGCAGCACTGTGCTTTCCTTGAATACAACACCACACCATGCTGTGATCACCAACCCATCTGTGCCTTCTGCCTCTCCTACTAAATACAAGGGTGGGGCCGGGAAGAAATTGTGGCATTTTTGTCTGTGTCAGAAGTGCCAAGGTGAAAGCCTGGAATAAATGGATTAATTAAATGGATGGAATTGATCAACAAATGAGTGAACAAGTGAATGAGCAAAGAAGTAACACAGCCTTGGGATACAGGTTTGGAAGTCTGCTCTGGTCTCCATCAGCCCAAATACCGATGGGACCATTTACAGCAGGAACAGTCACCCGAGATGATAATTTCCACTTTTAACTTTCACTATATAAGAATATAAATCCCACCTTTCTTCCCCACATTCCAATACACCTGCCCACCATACTCCCAACACATCAGTGTTACCTCTTCTTCTTCCTCCCTGAAATGCACTTAGACACAGGCTCTATTCCTGTGACACATGGTCTACCCATAGCAAGTTGCTCTGAAAAGTTACACTTCCCTCTGGGCAAATCTCACCTGACATCACAAGTTCCCAGGCTTTACCTAGCAGGACCCAAAGAATCAGACTATCCAAAAAAATCTTCAACTTCAGAAACCAGGAAATATAAGGCAAAAGGAATGAGGAATAGAAATACCTAAAATAATGAGAAGTCCAGAAGCAATCCTCATGCCCCCAGAACAGAATATACCACTGGACTGAAGCCACAAACGGTGAAAAACATGTTCTGGGATAAACTGCACTATTCCATGGCTTTAGAACTTGAACCCCCAATCTTATTTGCAACTATTTGCATATTTTGGTGTGCTATTTGCCTAATGCACTAAGAAAACTTCATCATTTTTTGTTTCTCCCAAAGGTCCTTATGGTATGTTTTTACTCCAACTACATAGACTGCCAGGGAGATACAGGGGGAAGGAAGGAAGAAAGATGTGTAACTGCTACCATTGACTGAGAGCCTGGAGGAGCATAATTGCTCTGTTAAAAGATGTGAAGATGCCAGTAACTCCAACCCAGAGGTCACCAACAAACAATTTAAACCTTCAACCCAAATCCTAATAAGCCAGATGTCAAATTGCTAGTCTGAGCCTGGCCACAAAGAGAAAGGATACCTTAGACGAAGAGGCCCAGGATAAGCATTGCTAATCATGCAGCAGTTGAGGGGTTTTACATCGTTACTGTCTTTGCCAATATACTGAGGACTTGGGAAATTGTGTCAAGATAATCTCAGACTGTGTATTTTAGCCACATAAGCCATTCAAACCACTAAGATGTAGAATAGGAGACAGGAGAGACTTTTAAATCTGACCAAATGAGGTTAAGAGGATTCATTTGACCCATATCCACCAAAGGAGATTGCATTCAGTAAAAGTTGGCTTTCCATACATTTTACATTTTCAGTGCCTCTGAGCAATTTTTACAGGTACACATTAATAAGTAAAAGGCACCAAGATCAGAAGTGAAAAGGAAGCAGATTCAGAAAGTATCATTCCACTTTGGAGTTATTACATTTTAGTGGAAGCTTTTTTTTTTTTTTTTTAACTGCAGTACTTGAGGCAAGTCCACACAGAGCATGGTAATATTCTCAAATCACACAGCAGAGATTTCAGAAAATAGCCCTTGTGTTCAAATAAAGTCATTACCATATCCTAAGGCAGTATAAAAACACACAATACAGTAATGCAATGATATTACAACAAACTGGGTCATTGCAATCACTCACCCAATGCTCAGATGAAAAGACCATTATCATCAAGACGCTGGGGAAGAGATGGAATCAATTTCCCAGGATTCAATCCATGAGCACAGAGTGTGTTGAGCAAAGAAAAGAAACTTTCCAGGCCCTGGTGGGATGGTTAACCTGTGCCGTGGGGATTTTGGTCTTCCCTCTCCTGTCTAAAAACTGAGAGGCAACAGAAATAAACCACGGGATCTCACCTTGCACTATGCCCAGAAGCGATTCCAGTGCCTGTCTTCTGCATTTCATTTCTAACATGTGGGCACTGCCTCTGCTTTGCTGACTGCCAACAAAGTGGTTATCTGCACATTTATTGAGGTATAGTTTCAAGGCAGAGCTCAGTTATTATGAAGCTCATTTTATTCACCTTTCCAAATATTAACATAAAGAACAGTCCATATATTCTCCTCTCCTTGCTTACTTCTATTTCAATTTTCTGAAGATGTTCTGTACGTGTAGATGCAGGATGGTGAAATGTGTTCTGGAGATCAATAAGGTAGGGATGTGGGAAGTTGGTAGGAACTATAAAATGGAGTTCAAATAGAAACTTCACAACCACGTGGTTTGCTTTTTGTTTTGTTTTGTTTGAAATGGAGTCTCGCTCCATCACCCAGGCTGGAATGCAGCGGCATGATCTTGGTTCACTGCAACCTCTGCCTCCTGGATTCAAGCCATTCTCCCACTTCAGCCTCCCGAGTAGCTAGGATTACCCACACATGCCACCACACATGGCTAATTTTTGTATTTTTAGTAGAGGTGGGGTTTTATCATGTTGGCCAGGCTGATCTTTAACTTCTGACTTCAAATGATTTGCCCACCTTGGCCTCCCAAAGTACTGGGATTACAGGTGTGACCCACTGCACCCTGTCAAAACTTCACAACCATGTGGGTTTTTTAAAAATCCTCTTTTTATGCATTTAGAACTTTCTTACCAAGAGAGACTGGTCAATGGATGCAAACATACAGTTAGATAGAAGGAAGATATACTAATGTTCAATAGTAGAGCAGGGTAATTATAGTTAACAACAATATATTGTATATTTCAAAATAGCTAGAAGACAGGACTGGAAATGTTCCCAACACATAGAAATGATACTCGAGGTAATGGATACCCCAAATACCCTGACTTGATTATTATACATTCTATCCATGTAACAAAACATCACATGTGCACCATAAAAAAATTACAAATGAAAAAAAGAACTTTCTTAACAACAGTTCCAGTTAACATAGATACAACTCATCCTTCTCTTCCAGACACCTATGTTCTTATTCAAACCAGTACATTAGGAAACAGAAGATACACCAATATCAGGGGTTATCAGCAGGAGATGAGCAGAACCTCAAAAGCTCCTGACCACATTGGGTGACTATGTTCCAGGTCCCACTCAGGCCTGAGAAATCCTCATTCACTAAAGGACATATGAGACTGAGTTGAATGCTGGAACGCATTTTATCCAGTTTATTCATTTACAATTAGAAATATTAGCCAACACCAACCAGAACATTCATGTTAGCTGCAACTGCTTGGAGCTACCTTACATATACCCCACATACTAAAAATAGCTCTTTTCCTTATGATGATGAAGTTACTCATTTTTGTTTTACCCTTGTCTTTGACGATTTTTTTAAAACGGAGTCTCACTCTGTTACCAGGCTGGAGTGTAGTGGCATGATCTCAGCTCACTGCAACCTCCGCCTCCCATGTTCAAGAAATTCTCTGTCTCAGCTTCCAGAATAGGTGAGATTACAGGTGCCCACGACCACGCCCAGCTTTTTGTTTGTTTTTCATATTTTTAGTAGAGACAGGGTTTCACCAACTTGGACAAGCTGGTCTTGAACTCCTGACCTCATGATCCAACCACCTCAGCCTCCCAAAGTGCTGGGAGTACAGGCGTTAGCCACTGCACCGGCCAAGGATTATTATTAAAACACAACTCTGAGGGCATTAACAGTATTCTATAAGCACATAAGTACTGAATACTTATTGCAAGAGCCTTATTGAACGGGAAGAGATACAACAAGTTATCTAACTTTCCTAATCTAGTAGTTTTTTTTTCTTCTGAAAAGAAAACAAAGGTTGTTCAGAAAAGCTTATTTTTATCACAGAATCAAACACAGTTAAAGTAGAAGAGATTCCATATGCAGGCCATGTCCTTTTCTCATTGATTCATTTACTAAACATTTACTGAGCACCTAATATGTGTAAGGCATGATTTAGACACTTTGAACATAGTAGTGAAGAAAACAGACAAGGATACCTGCTCTAATAGAGTTTTTATTCTGCCAGGGAAAGACATAAAATAAATGTAATAAACAAATTAACTGTACAGAATGCTAGAAAGTAACCAGGGCTTTGGGGTGAAAACGTGGGACCAAGTAAAAGCAGTGGCAAGCATGTAAGCAGGGGGTAGGTACAATTTTGAATCTAATAGTTAAGAAAGACCTCACTGCAAAGGAAAGCTTAAAGAAGATGAAGAAATTAACATTCCAGCATCCAGAGAACAACCTGTTGGAAGAGCATTTCAGGCAGAAGGAGCAGACGATGCAAAGAGCCTGAGACAGGAGTGATCCAGAATGTTCATAGAACATTGAGAAAGTCAATATGGCTGGAGCCCAGTGAGAAATGTAGAGAGTAGGAGACAAGTGCAGAGGAATAATAACCAGGTCACTTAGAGGGGCCCCACAAGCCATTATAGAGATATTGGCTTCTGCTGAGAGTGAAATGGGGTGTCGCGAGTTTCAAGCGGGAAAGCATGACAACTGAATTTCTTCCACTATAATAAAATAACTCTGGCTTCTCTACTGAGAAGAGACTGTGGAAGTGGAAATACCAGTGAGGAAACCATTGCAGGAATCCAAATTCAAGAAAAGGAGATTGATCAGAGTATTAGGGATGTGGTGAGGATAGTGGGATTCTAAATTCATATTGAGGAAAGACTCAATAAAAGTAGCTGATGGATGAATGTAAGAAGAGAAAGTCTAGGAGGCTTCCAAGGCTCCGGACTTGAGCAACTTTGAGAAAGGAGTTACCTTTGATGCCTCTTTTTCAAGAGGTTCTTCAGTCCTCAAACGTAAGATGCAACTAGGAAATATTCTCTCTTACTTGAACCTTTCTGTTGGGGAATTAGGATAAGGCAGAATAGAAAGGAGGAGGGGGATGTATAGTTCCTCTGCTCCAAGCAGAATTTGTTTCTTAACCGCTGATTATAGGCTCTCTGAACTTGCAGTCTTCCAGGAAATGGTCATCCTCTGCCAACAACAATGAAATGGTGGATTTTCTGCTTCACAAAGTCTCTGGCCCTTGTTTCACAAACACTCACGCTTTAGGGTTGGATGATGCCCCCTCCAAGCTTGGCGGCGTTTGCTGTCTACCTGGACAATGCTCTGAAATGTGAAGTCAGTCAATTGTACTGTCTCCTCGCCCCTGGCAAGGGTTTAGTGACAGTTCCAAATGGTTTGGAGTTCTTCTACTTTTTTTTTTTTTCCACATTATGCCAATGAAGCCTAGGGAACAGAAGGCTATTCCAGTTGTCACTGCAGCCTGAGCCTACATGAAAGCTTTCCTAGAAATGAGTTTTAGAAGCTCTCATGAACTACCTACCTCCTTCTAATCATAGCCTTTATCACAGTGGCTGTGATTTAGGCAAGGAGCACTTTGTTTAAACAAAGTCATAGGAAGTGGCCCAATATGCAAAGCAGAGCGGCTCTGCCTGAAGCACGGGTCCCATCTCCTTGCCTCCCACCCCTCACCATCCTTCCCCACTCACTAGGTCCACTGAAATGTCCTCTAAATAGGTACTAAGAAAAAGTTATGGTTCTGTGGAACAGGATTTGAAAAGCAATGCACTGCGGCTTTCTGTAAGAACAGCAGCACACACAGGTAGCCACAGTTCATTCCCCTACCATTGTGTCAGGACTGAGACACTGAACTTGCAGTCTACAGTTTGTCAAGTTGCTGAATAACTGCTAAGTGTACCCACGCTCTCCATCACAGCATTACCAGCATTGTCTGCCAGAGCAGATGGACAGATCCCAGCAAACAGCCATGTAAACTGTCTCACAGCACCCCTCTTGTATGTCGTTCCAAAGCATGCCTCTCAGGGGAGCATGTTTCAGCCAAAGTTTAAAGGTTTCCTTTTTTAAGACAACAAAAGAGAACTCCAAGAAACGCTGTGCTTTCTGACCTACAGGAGGCTCATCGAATTTCCTGACCATTTTCTTCACTATAAAAATGTATTTCTCTGATGGTGTGCCAAGGCTTGGGACTGTAGGAATGATACCTGGTGGCCACGGAGACTAGCCAGGGGTGATAGAGTTGTCGTTTTGACTTCTCAGTGCCCAAAACACCGGACTCAAAATCAACCTCTCAGAATCTCCTTTCTTGGCAACTTCTTTAAAGACTGCTCGACCCCACTAAACCTAGAAAAAGGCTTTAATTTGAATCCTTTTCACTTCTGAGCTGCTTCATGTAACTGATGAAAGCCAAGAGCCCTCTTTCCACTTCTGTGCCATTCTGTGCCAACTGAGCCCTAAAGCATATTGTCCCATGCACACAGACTCACTCAGACTGTCACAGAAACTATTTCTTCAGCTTCTGACTCTAACTTATCTTGCTAGCAGGGCTCAAAATTGATCTTACTCTAACCTCTCTTGCTATAAGTGTTCAAAATTGATCCAAATTATCTACCATTTTACTATCTTAAGATTTTCTTATGTCCCTTACCTTGTGCCTTTACAGAAATGTCCTTTCTCTCTTACCTGAAAAGTGGAGGGAAAGGTTCTCATGAATGTCGTTTCATGAAAGTAGACCCAAGGGAAGACAGGCTTGGCAGCCAGGACCCCAGGCCAACCTGTGCTTAGGCTCAAGGTTTGAGTGGCCCTTAGCTGAGCCTAACACAGGTTAGTCTGGGGGCCTGGCAGCCAATGATGCACAAAGATGAGGAAAGTGACTCCCATCCCATCACCAAGAGGCTTGCCCAAGATCACAAACGTCATTAACAACAAAGCTGACATTAGAACTTATGTCCCGCCGCGCGGTGGCTCAAGCCTGTAATCCCAGCACTTTGGGAGGCCGAGGTGGGTGGATCACGAGGTCAAGAGATCAAGACCATCCTGGTCCACATGGTGAAACCCCGTCTCTACTGAAAATACAAAGAATTAGCTGGGCATGGTGGCGCGTGCCTGTAATTCCAGCTACTCAGAAGGCTGAAGCAGGAGAATTGCCTGAACCCAGGAGGCAGAGGTTGCGGTGAGCCGAGATCGCACCATTGCACTCCAGCCTGGGTAACAAAAGTGAAACTGTCTCAAAAAAAAAAAAAAAAAAAAAAAGAACTTATGTCCCTTAATTCTCTATCTAAAGGGCATAAACTCTGAAAAAGGTGACAGATACTCTTTAAAGATCAAAATGTCTTACTAAAAAACTTAAGTATAATCCATAACAAATACTGTATTTATCAAAGGAAAAAAATACTTCTAGAGAGATTCTTTTTTTAGCCTCCTAGCGACTTTTATCCTTTATTATGAATTTGCTCAAATACACGTCCCAACAGCTGAAATGCATTAGCCATAAAAGTAGGAGAGGAGTGGGCTGAGTGGCAGAATCCCTCCTAAACCCTAAGCTGCACAGGAGAACGGATGGATGGGCTGTGTGCACCTGTAGAGTAAAAATGAAAACATCACATTTACAAGGCTTATGTAACAGCTTCTCAGAGGTTAAAAACTGCTCCCCGTGGCATTTCCTGAACTCATATAGTCAGCTCAGCTACTGTGGCTGTGGTTTTCACTTATGAGGGCCCTCAGAAAGGACTCAGTTGTTATTGCTTGTACTTCAGAGCTAAATTATCTTGTAGTGCACACAAGTCAGCAAAGTTGTTTTTTTTTTAACCAAATTGCAGACAATCACTTCCCACAGCAATAATTTTTCTGTGAGTTCCCCTGTCTGCATAGACAATGGCTTCCAGCTTCAACCCTGATGCATAAATATGGCAGTTACTATTACAATAGACCGGCTCTCTGGCTAGATGTCAGGAAGGCACTAATGTTGAGGATACTGTGCTGGACAGATGCAGGGAAGAAAAGTGACAGCTTGAAATTGCAGCAGAATACAAAGTGTGGTGAATCTGAATGGGTACAGGTCTTTTAATGGAGGGCATCCTACAGGTCTCTCTTTTCCCGTTTATTTCTTCGAGAAGGCATGGATGAGGAGGAGGCTAAAAGTGGAGGAAAAGTGGCATAAGACAAGGACAGGAAAAAGTAGACCCTGGATCTTTTGTTTTCTTTTCTATGGTCTTAGTCCACAGAAGAACAAAAATCCTGGACTCAGAATGACAAAAATTATTTACCTTCATATTATGAAGGTAACCACATTACCTTAACCTGTGAGACACCTTTTATGCAAAGAGACTGGCTTTTATGCAAAGCCAGTATCAGATAACAATAATAATAACACAGTGCCACACTGTGATTTATTGTCAGATGCTCCACTCACTCTGATCCTTTGCCCTTTCCACATCCAAAAACATCAACTACATTTTTCTGTCTCTATGAAAGGAAAGTTCCTCATTATCTGAAATCTAAATAGACTCAGATAAGCACAGAACCCAAAAGGCATGTCCTCCACCCAACATCTCAATCAGGTTATATCTGCTTCTACTCACCACTGTGTCCTATACTCAGAGTAAGTGCTCAAGAAAAATTTCTTGAAAGGATCAATGAACCACACCTTTCTGTCTGTACTGCCTTCTTGAACTTGCTTCATCAGTGCCGGACCTTTTCTCAGACTCACCAAGGCCATTTTGGCAGTAGAGACTTGAGTGACTGCTGGAGCAGGACAAGCTTAGTCAAGAAGTCTGCACCATTGTTGTAGAAAACTGTTAGGGAGCTCCTTTCTGGGTAATTTTACGTTGTCAAACTGATATGTCAATGAGCCAAGTAAACTCACTGAGAAGGAAAACATCTCATATTTAGCAGGATTCGAAGCTGTACAGGAAGACACCAATGAATTTCTAGCTCGTTGCCTTAACCACTCAGCCACAGCTTACCGAGGCCATTTTGGATCCCACACTTGTCCCTCAAGGTGCAGCAAACACACTGGCAGACTCGGTATCACTTTAATATCCTAAAGGAACTTCAGCTCCAGCCACTATTCTGTCTATTTCGGGAAGTCTCTGCTGCTCACACCAGATCAAGATGACCTCCTCTCATCTTATCATTAGATCACTCAGTTGTGACTTATATGGCCTCACTATATTGTATAAATTTTCAGACATGTTTGCCAATTATATTATAAATATCTTGCAAGAATGGACTGCATTTTATATCTCCCTATATCCTACTCAATGTACAAACTATAGCAGAAAGACAGTAACTATTTATGGACATCAGTCAGTGAAAATGCATCTTATTTCAATATTTCTACTAGTTTTTAAATGCTGAATGGGACTTTCAGTTGTAACCAGCAGTATCTGATAAAGCCCTAAAAGAAAAAGGGTATTTTGCTCATCCTAAAAGCTGTGGGGTGTAGTTAAAATGATACTTGTGAAAAATATCACTAGTCAGTATGTAACATCATAAACCCAGGGCCTAAGATAAATCAGGTTACAGACAGGAAAAATGAACAAATATCAAAAATGTGGTCCTCAAAATGGATTTGATTTCTATCCAATCAAATGATCCATCAGGTTAAGGAACTATGGGTTTTTTTTTTCTGTGTATGCTTTATTTTATGTATGTATTACCCAGAGGATGCATTTATGTCTTTGTCTCTTTCATCCAAAGCTTCCAAAAGGTGGCATCATCATCATCATCATCATCATCATCAACAACAACAATAAATGTACCAAATTACTAATTGTTCCTGGTATGGACCTGGGAGAAGCAAAAAGAAAATGAGGCAACCCTGATTCCTGAGCCCTTGAGAAGCTGCATAGATGGCCATGCTGATGGAAAGGTTCTTTATCGGGACTGACAATTAGCCAAATCTGAACTAAAACCTATCTGTGACTGAAACACACAGGACAGGGTTAGGAACGGTTGGTGGAAAAAGTACTGTTAGGAAATATGGGCTCTGATTCCAACTTTGCCCCTATCTACTTAAGGGACATTATACAAGTCATTTAGAAGCCCTGGCCTCATATTCTTAACTTTTGAAACATAAGAATTTCAACGATATAATCTGTTTCCTCCTATGTTACAGTTCTTCACCAGGTATCACTCCTGGGGCTACTGTTAACAGAAGAATGTAGTGATGAGAGTCCATAATAGTCGACATAATAGATGTCGACATATCTGGATTCAAATTCTGGCTCCATCAGTCACTAATTTGGGCAAATCATTAATCTCGAGAAGCCTCAGTCCACTAATATGTAAATAAGTCCACTGATATGTTTTAGGGAGATTATGAATATTTTTTAAGATAGCCAAGTTACCTTACACATACTTGGCACTCAGTAAACATAAGAATTGTTGTGATGAGTTTTTCCTCTCGTGTTGAATGCCTAAGGCAGACTCTTGGGATCCTTTAACAATGAACATGCAAAGTCTATTAGACTCAGAGAAGATTTGAAAGACTTTCAGATTCCTGGGTTTCTGACCCCTCAGTTAGAGGATCAAGAATTCCCCTGATGGCAGCTCAGGAGCAAAATGTGGGGAAACGTTGTCACTACATTAAGCCCTCCCCAAATTTTCTTTAGATATTTAACATCAAGATCCAGACATGACTTGCCTTATACCAGTTTTTCCATGTGCCATGAATCAAGGAACACCAGAAAGTCCCAGCTTCCTAGAGTATCTTCCCAACAGTCTTTGCAGTGTTTGAACTTTCACTGTTGGAGATTTGCTTCTTAGATTAAGGCACAAAAAATTCTTTCCAGACTTCCACTTTTAAAATACAGTTTCTTTGAAAACCAAACACCACATGTCCTCAGTTGTAAGTGAGAGCTGGACAATAAGAACACTTGGACACTGGGAGGGAAACAACACACACTGGGGCCTGTTGGGAGGTGGGGCTGGGACAAAGGGAGCATTAGGAAAAATAGATAATGGATGCTGGGCTCAGTATCTAGGTGATGGGTTGATAGGTGCAGCAAACCACCACGGCACACATTTACCTACGTAACAAACCTGCATATTTTGTACATGTAGCCTAGAATTTAAAATGAAAATTAAAAATTAAATAAAATACAGTTTACCTGGAGAGTGATAAGTGAGCAAGCTATTGGCAATGAAGCAGACAGGGGTCATGATAGGATAAGAAGACTCAGGGACAAAGAACAACGGGAGATGTAATGATAAACTTTTCTAACTTCATAGTTCTGACAATTGCTGTGGATGGATGCAGGTGCTGTGTGTAGAAGATATATTCCATTGGAGATATCCTTGAGAGGTGATTGGTGCCAAATGACCCTTCATATACAACTCCCTCTATTTTCCACCTGACAGGTTCTCAGCGTCCAGGCCACACTGTCTATGGGCATCTATATCTCTAAATATTGTAGAAGTGTCTACCAGGCCTTCCTCAAAGAACACACACAGCTTTCTGTATACCTGGTCTGGGCTCTGTGCCATCTACTAACTTGGCAGATCTAGCATCACCTGCCAGACCTTTCCAAAAAACGTGAGAGGCGCCATGAAGAATGGAGGGACAGGAAGCTCAAGGCCTGAGAGGGCTAAATACTCATCAGAGAGCTCTGAATGCCACAGCTGATTAGAAAAGGCCAAAGCTTCCTCCATTAAAAGACCATAGTTTATAACTCTAATAATTTATACATGGGTTCACTTTCCCTGAATAATTACAGATTATTATCCAGCTAATTACAGTACATGGTATTAAAAGATCTGAAATTTATTACCCCAATCTAGGAAATTACTTTGGCATGTGTTTTGAAAAGAAAAATGCCGGGAAAGCAGTTTAGGTCTTCCCAGGGTGATACACTGCTGTGGTCCCATGCTTTCTTCCCAGCATGAAATAGTTTATATTGTCATATAACCTACAGATGTCCTAAAACATGAATTTCAACATTTCAGTCCAAAATGACTTTTCTCCCTAAATAGGATTGCCAAATTTAACAAACAAAATCACAAGGTGTTTTTAATTGGCTTAGTTAAATTTGAATTTTAGATACACAATAAATAATTTTAGTTTAAGTATGTCCCAAATTCTACAAGATATATTTCCACTAAAAAACAATTATTTGTTGTGTGTCTGAAGTTCAAAGAGCCCTGTATTTTATCTGACAATCCTATCCCCAAGGAAGATCTGAAAGAGCAAATAATGCTGAGGAGAGACAAAAGTGTAGGTTTAATAAACAGTATCTCAATGCCAAAAACTGGGGGATCAAACTTCATACAAAAATGTTAATTATCAACAGGACAATGTTCAAATTTGGAGAAAAATACCCATGCAAATTCTCAAATATGAGCCTTCACTTCCAAGTCAAAATGGCTAAGGTTGAACTATACCATTCCTATGTGGATCTGACCCATGTACAGGGTCCTTGGATGTTTCTACCAAGAAACTTCTCATATTCAACAAAAAGGGAAGGGAAAAAATGTGTGAATTGTACTGTCTTGACATGGGAGCTCATATCCCACATACAAGTCCCATAACTATCCCACCTCACCTACTGATTCTTTTTAGGATGACATCCCTATTTATTTATATAAATTTTTACCAGCCCTCTATTTTGGTGGGAACATAATTTGGCAGGCTGATGTTAAGACGGACATAGGGAGTGGTTGAGAGAGAGAGAGGGTAAATGAAGCATTTTCCAATTAATAAAGAAGAAAGTGTCTACCTTATTTTTACTACAAAATTACATTTAAAATTACTGGTACTAATACACTTGAAAAGAAATATAGTCCAATAAAGGACAAAAGTGTATGGTACTGACAAAAAGTATAGTAAAATTTCAAAGAACAACATTAATGTGAGATTATGTAATCCAGGTAGTTTGAAGATCCCTTCATTCAACAAATATCCATCAAGTGCTGCATTAGTCAATTCTTACAATACTATAAAGAACTATCTGAGGCCAGGTAATCTATAAGAAAAGAGGTTTATTTGTGCTCAAGGTTCTGTGGGCTGTACAGGCTTCTGCTTCTGGGGAGGCCTCAGAAAACTTACAACCATAGTGGGAAGTAAAGGGAAAGCAGGCACATATTCACATGGCTAGCAGGAAAGAATGACTGAGAAGGGGAACATGCTACCAACTTTGAAACAACCAGATCTCTTGAGAACTCTATCATGAGAACAGCAAAGGGGAAATTCACCCTCATGATTCAATCACCTCCCACCAGGCTCCTCCTGATATGGTTTGGCTGTGTCCCTACCCAAATTGTAACTCAAACTCACTCTTTCAGAATTCCCAAATGTTATGGGAGGTACCCAGGGGGATGTAATTGAATCATGGGGGCTAGTTTTCCCATGCTATTCTCATAGTGAATAAGTCTCATAAGATCTAATAGGTTTATCAGGGTTTTTGATTTTGCTTCTTCCTCGTTTTCTCTTGCTGCTGCTGTATAAGAAGTAACTTTCACCTCCTGTCATGATTCTGAGTCCTCCTCAGCCATGTGAAACCAAGTCCAATTAAACCTCTTTTTCATCCTGGTCTTGGATATGTCTTAATCCATCTTTAAGCTGCTGATAAATACAGTAAATTGGTACCAGTAGAGCGGGGTGCTGCCAAAAAGATACCCCAAAATGTGGAAGTGACTTTGGGACTGAGTAATAGGCAGAGTCTGGGACAGTTTGGAAGGCTCAGGAGATGACAGGAAAATGTGGGAAAGTTTGGAACTTTCTAGAAACTTGTTGAATGGCTTTCAACAAAATGCTGATAGTGATATGAACAATAAAATCCACGCTGAGGTGGTCTCAGATGGAGAAGAGGAACTTACTGGGAATTGGAGCAAAGGTGACTCTTGTTAAGTTTAGCAAAGAGACTCACAGCATTTTGCCCCTGCCCTAGAGATTTGTGGAACTTTCAACTTCAAAGAGATGATTTAGGGTATCTGACAGAAGAAATTTCTAAGCAGCAAAGCATTCAAGAAGTGATTTGGGTGCTGTTAAAGGCATTCAGTTTTATAAGGGAAGAAGAGCACAAAAGCATGGAAAATTTGCAGTCTGGCTATGCAATAGAAGAAAAAAAAAAAACATTTTCTGAGGAGAAATTCACCTGGCTACAGAAATTGGCACAAGTGGAAAGGAGCCTAATGTTAAGCCTCAAGAACTTGGAGAAAAGGTCTCCAGGACATGTCAGAGACCTTCACAGCAGCCCCTTCCATCATAGGCCAGAAGGTACAGGAGGAAAAAGTGGTTTCATGGGCAGGTCCCAGGTCCCCGTGCTGTGTGCAGCTGTCCCAACCTTGTGTCCCACCTGTGTCCCTGTTGCTCCAGCCTTGGCTAAAAGGGGCCCACATACAGCTCAGGCTGTGGCTTCAGAGGGTGGAAGCTACAATCCTTGGCAGCTTCCAAGGACTGTGTTGTTGAGCCTGCAGGTGCACAGAAGTCAAGAAATGATGTGTGGGAACCTCTGCCTAGATTTCAGAAAGGTGTATAGAAATGCCTGGATGCCCAGACAAAAGTTTGCTGCAGGGGTAGGCCATCATGGAGAACCTCTGCTAGGGCAGTAAAGAAGGGAAGTGTGGGGTTAGAGCCCCCACAAAGAGTCCCTACTGGGGCACTGCCTAGTGGGCTGTGAGAAGAGGGCCACCATCCTTCAGACCCCAGAATCGTAGATCCACCAACAGCTTGCACCATGGGCCTGGAAAAGCTGCAGACAGTCAACATTAGCCCTTGAAAGCAGTCAGGAAGGATGCTGCACCCTGCAAAACCACAGGGGCAAAGCTGCCCAAGACCCATGTCTTGCATCAGTGTGACCTAGATGTGAGACCTGAAGTCAAAGGAGATCATTTGGAGCTTTAAAATTTGACTTTCTTGTTGGATTTTGGACTTGCATGGACCCTGTAACCCCTTTGTTTTGGCCAATTTCTCCCATTTGGATTTGGAACTGTTGTACTTACCGAATACCTCTACCCCCATTGTATCTATGAAGTAATTAGCTTTCTTTTGATTTTACAGGCTCATAGACAAAAGGGACTTGCCTTGTCTCAGATGAGACTTCGGAATGTGAACCCTTGGGTTAATGCTAAAATAAGAAGACTTTGGGGGACTGTTGGAAAGGCATGATTGGTTTTGAAATGTGAGGGCATGAGATTTGGAGGGGCAAGGGCAAAATGATATATTTTAGCTATGTCCCCACCCAAATCTCAACTTGAATTGTATCTCCCAGAGTTCGCACATGTTGTGGGAGGGAACCAAGGGGAGGTAACTGAATCATGGGGGCTGGTCTTTCCCATGCTACTCTTGTGATAGTAAGTCTCACAAGATATAATGCGTTTATCAGGGATTCTGCTTTTGCTTTTTCCTCATTTTCTCTTGCTGCTGCCATGTAAGAAGTGTCTTCCACCTCCCACCATGATTCTGAGGCCTCCCCAGCTGAACTGTAAGTCCAATTAAACCTATTTTTCCTCCCAGGCACCAGCATGTCTTTATCACCCACATGAAAATAGACTAATACATCCTCTAACACTGGAACTTACAATCCAACATAAGATTTGGGTGAAGACACAGAGCCAAACCATACCAAGTGCTACCGTTATACTAGGTAGTGTGCCAACCTTTGGGGTTACAGCAGTAAACAAGATAGGCAAGATCCTACTCTTGAGAGGCTTAGATTCAAGAGATGAGGAAGACAGAAAATATAGAAAATAATAAAAGAATACATAAGGTAAGATTTTTTTAAGGCAGTATCTCTGGACTTTGAAGGCATTATCAGAGTTATGAGGACACTTAAGATATAGATAAGACTGATTCATAATATTGCAGTTTTTCAGCAACAGCTCTACATCCAAATTTCAAGATGTGGGTATCCCACATTCTCTTGGTCACCTCTACCATAGTTTTGCAGAATTTATTTAGCTTAGAGAATGAC